CTCCCTCTCTCTCTATCTCTCTCCCATGCTCTCTATAAGATGGTTGTGAGACCTGTAATGCTTTATGGTGCTGAATGTTGGCCATTAAAAGAGAAGCATAATACTAAGTTAAGTGTTATAGAGATGAGGATGCTTAGGTGGTTGAGTGGCTTTACCCATAGAGATAGGATACGAAATGAGAATATACGTTGGAGTAGCTCCAGTGGAAGATAAGATTAGAGAGAGTCGCCTTAGATGGTTTGGTCACATAAAACGACAACCTTTCGATGACCCGATTAGGAAAGTAGAGGTATTAGATTTGACTTATGTTAAGTTAGGTAGAGGTAGACCTAAAAAGACTTGGTTAGAAAATATTAGAAATGATCTTTCTTTATTAGATTTAAACAAGAATTTGACTTTTAACAGGACACAATGGAGAAAAGGATTCATGTAGCCGACCCCACATAGTGGGATAAAAACTTGATGTTGTTGTTGTTGTTGTTTGGTCTTTGTTTTTTGAAGTGTGTGCTACCATCAACAAAATTTATGTTGGAAATACAAATGACTTATGAATTTTAGTCATTTTTCGGCAGAAAATGCCATTGAAAAATGACATTTTTCTTGTAGTGTTTGCCAAGAGTTTGAGAGGTTTAATTTAGAATTTTTGGAGCTTTCATTTTGTTTTCTGTTTTCTGGGTTTCAAGAGTTTTGGTTTTTCTTAATGTGTATTATTTTAGGTTGTTTAATGTTAACATTTTTTTCTATATTTTTAATGTGTTTTATTAAAATATGAATTAATTTCATTAATTAATCTAAAAGAAATTTTAATAAATGTTTAAATTTTTTTAAAAATTAATTGCTCTGTTCATTAATATTTTAAAAATTATTTAAATTAAATTTGTTGCTCAATTTTAAATATTTAAGTTTAACTAATTGATATTTAAAATATTTAATTTTAAATTAATTAGTTCAATTAGATAAGGTTTTGATTTATTTTAATTAACTAGTAATTTAAACTTTAAATTAGGATAATTAATTTAATATTTTAAATTAAAAGTTTAACTTTATTTTAATTACAATTTTAAATTGAAACTAAAATAATTAATCAATTATTTATTTTTCATTCCTTTTTATATTTTTATTAGCCGATTGAATTTTAATTAATTAGTTATTTAATTTTAAGTAAAATTAGGTCTTACGACTTCCCTTGGAAGTAGTCTGTTGGTGAGTCTTATAACCTAGCCCTGATTTAGCTAGTAGTTGCTTATTAGGCTAACTTAAGAGTAGTTACACACCCTACCACCCAACACTAGTGCCTTCTACCCTAGCTTTTAGTAATATATTATGGTTTTGCTCATAGTAGTGCTCATAGCTTTCCTACTTCAGTAGCTTGTCTTTTATTTTAGTAGCGTTGTTTATTCAGTACCAATTCTACTTTAGTACCTATTTATTTTAGTATCGATTCTGTTATTTCTAGTACTAGTTTTGTTCTTTAAAGTACTAATTTTGTTTACCTACGCTGACTTTCGTCTACTTCTTTGTAGGTGTTCGTGGATAGTTGATACAGGAGCTGCAGCTTGCAACTGCAAAGTTTTCCAACAGCTAGAGCTTTTTAGAGGATGGAATTTCAATAAAGGGAAAATGCTTATTTCCGACAGAATTTTCGATGGACATAAATTCGTCAAAAATTCTAACATATTTTCTGGCGGAATATCTCCAATGGATTACTAACAAATTTTTTGATGGGTTTTCTGACGGATTTGTTTCCGTCAGATTTGAAATAAATTTCTGATGGAATTTAAAATTTTTTGAAAAACAATTATTATAAATATTTAAAATTATCATGTGGTTAAGTTAAATTAAGTATTTTAAAAACTTATTATCAAATTAAATTAAATATTATAAAACTAAAATAATTAAATAATTTTAATAATTATTATTATGGTTAAATTAACTAATTCAAATAAATTAAATATTTAATCTAATAAATATTAGTTTTATAGATAAAATAATCTTAACATATAATGTATTAAAAAATATCATTACAAATTATAATTTAAATTAAAAAAATGTAACTTATAAGACAGAAGTCTACACTGAAGCTTAATGGATAGGCACTGTGTTTACACAAGGGGCAAGGTTCGAATCTCGTGTAGGCATAAGCGAGTGCACGTAAATGGGTTTGCGAGCGGGTTTGGTTCACAGGCGATGGGAATGCCTAGTCACAAGCGCGGGTTCGTGGGCAACGGCATGCGGGTGGGGCATAGTTTAAGAGCGTGCGGAGTTCTTATGTGACCGGGCGGGCCTGGTTCACGAACGATGAGCGCGGGGTTACGGGTTTGGTTCACGAGTAGTGCGAGGGCTTGCGACATGGTTCATGAGCTGGCAGCGGGCCTGCTCGGGCTAAATAAGAATAATTTAATTTTCTTTAATCAATTTCCGTCAAAAAATCTGCCAGAAATATTTTTCGATATAGTTTTTCCGCTAGAAATATTTCTAGAGAAATTTTTTCATCGGTGTTTATTTTTTGAAGAGTTTATTGCCGTTGAAAAATTTTATGTTGAAAATACAACTTAATTACGGATTTTAGTCATTTTCTGGCAGAAAATACCGCTGAAAAATGACGTTTTTCTTGTAGTGCTTGCTCGGTGTTGGAGAGGTTTAGTTTAGAATTTTTGGAGCTTTTCATTATGGTTTTTGCTTTCTTAGTTTTAGGAGTTTGGGTTTTGCTTGCCAAGAGTAAGCATTGTTTGTTCAGTTTAAAATTTATTTGTTAGTTCATTAATATTTTAAAAATTATTTAAGTTAAATTGGTTGCTCAATTTTAAAGATTTAAGTTTAATTAATTGTTATTTAAAAGATTTAATTTTAAATCAATTAGTTTAATTAATTAGGTTTTGATTTATTTTAATTAATTAGTAATTTAAATTTTAAATCAGGATAATTAATTTAAAGTTTTAAATTAGAAGTTTAACTTTATTTTAATTAAAATTTGAAATTGAAATATTTAGTCCTCAACTCCTCCAATCTAACGATTTATATTTGAATATGAACTTATAGGGACACAATAAGCATTCCCTTGCCCATTACTTTTTCATAAAACATGAAGCTATTTACTCTTTCAAGAATATGTAAATAAAGTGTTTTTGGTGGAGCCATCATTAAAAGGTTATTCCAATGCAAAAATAAAATAACTTGTATAAAGAAATGCTGATATGAAATACTCTTTCCATACTGTTTAAGTAACGCTTGATTAGAAAATAGTTCTCCCCTTATAGTAACTGAATCTCTTACCAAGAGATCCACCAAGGTCCTTTAATAGAAAAGCTTAGAGGAGTATTAGCCCATTTACACAAGAAAAAAGTAGCTTAGGGATAAAACATAAAGAAATTTATAAGGTGTTGATATTATAACACACAAATCATATAATGAATCATATCTTTAGAAAAAAATCAAAAGAAAGGGAAAATTGTTGAAAACCTCACACGTAATGGTCGTTGGTGATGGTTCACCATAGACGGAGCGATTGTGGTGGTGGTGGTTGACAATGAGTGATGGCAAGCGATGTCTAGCGGTGGCCATTGACCATAAGTGTAGTCTAAAGAGGGACCCAATGGTTGTTTAACACCCTATTTGACCCCCTATAATCAATATAGAGTGTAACAGAGAGGGAGAATGTGATGTGCCCGAGAATCTAATTTGGAAGAATTATTCTTTTATCTTTTAATAAATAATAACCATAATTACATAATATCATCTATCAGAAATAAATAGCAGAAATAAATTCTTCAATTAAAAATATCAATATATACATCTGTATTTAATACCAAAAATCATATACAATACTCAGAATATATATAATAATCATATATCTATCATGTCCTAAGTACAAAAGAATAGCTAATATAAAAAGAACCTGAACCTGAAGGAATCATGACCAGTCTTCACACTCCTAATCCTCTGCACTACGTGAAATCATTTAACCATATATAATGAGCTAAAAATTCCATCAAGTCACCAAACCTACAGCTAAATTCAAAATACGGTAAAGGAGTAATATACATGTCAGGGATCAAATTATTACACTAGTATTCTTATGATTATTGAATCAATGTAGAAATAGTAAAACTTATATGTAGTAGCAGTAAAAGTTATAAATGGAAAAATAGTATAGTATAAAAGCCAATAAATTAGTACGGGTGTCAAATATATAAAGCAATATCCGTATAACTATTATCAATCAGTAGAGAGATCATATAAAGCAGTAAAACCAAATCATCGGTGAAGACTTTCAAAATCATATCAAGGTAGTAAAATTATATAGGAGTGTACACATGTTATCAAATTATTCTATATCAGTATTAAATCAGTATATTACGTGTTTAGTATATCACATGCTTATTGTATAATGAATAAATAGCATCAAATAGTATTGATGTCTGTATCAGTAGCAGTAATAATTCAGTGGCAAGAATAGTAAAAAAATAAATATGTAAATGTTTGATTGAAAAAGTTGAGTTTTA